AGAGCGTCTCTTTACTTCGAAACTGGTTGGGAAATCTTGTCTCAACGTCGCCCCCGCCGCAAACTTCAACTTTTCTACAAAATTCACAACAATATGACTCCCTCTTACCTAACTGACCTTCTCCCGCCACTAGTAGCTACTTTAACTCCTTATAATTTGAGAAACTCTGAGAACTATTCCATTCCTAATTTCCGTTTACAATCTTCACTCAACTCGTTCATACCTTCTACTTTAAGATTATGGAATGAGCTTGACACTAATATTAAAACTGCACATTCTAATAAGAGCTTCACAAACTGACTCAAAAAACAAAATGAAACATTCAAAGTGCCTGTTTTCTATTTAGCCAGTGACCGCAAGTTAAATATTTTACTAACCAAACTCCGTCATAAATGCAGCCCTTTAAATGATGATCCCTTTAATGTTAACCTAATCAACTCTCCTATTTGTGCATGTGGATATCCTAATGAAAATGCTCATCATTTCTTTTTTTACATGCAGTACATATACTGATCAAATTTCAAATTTCAAATGATTAGAAATCTTTATGGCCATGAAGATTATTCGAGTGACGAAAATAAATAAATATTTATATACGTCCATTAGTATGTATGAGTACTCGCAGGTTTTAATATGGTCACGTTCTTCTGTCTCCTCTCCAACAGGTCTCATTATCTTTCATATTCATTTCTGAGCTTGTGTCCGGATTACATGGCATAACGTGCACTTGTGTGTTCCTTATTATTTTAGTAATCCTCTGTAATGTTTAACTTTCTTTTAAGTGCACGAGAGCGTGAATGCAAGAAGTGTGCGTGTGCTTGAATGTATGTAGTATAGGCATGTGATGGGCCATGCAGTTACAGTCAGTGCGGTGGAAACGAATTTTCGAGGATGGAATGAAAAGGAGAAAGCCACAAAGCACGGGACGTGACGAACTGTTGAATAGCTGAAAGTATGGAATAGTGCCAGGATATCACTGCGCTGGCTGTGCTGGATGGTTACATTNCTCTCTCTCTCTCTCTCTCTCTCTCTCTCTCTCTCTCTCTCTCTCTCTCTCTCTCTCTCTCTCTCTCTCTCTCTCTCTCTCTCTCTCTCTCTCTCTCTCTCTCTCTCTCTCTCTCTCTCTCTCTCTCTCTCTCTCTCTCTCTCTCTCTCTCTCTCTCTCTCTCTCTCTCTCTCTCTCTCTCTCTCTCTCTCTCTCTCTCTCTCTCTCTCTCTCTCTCTCTCTCTCTCTCTCTCTCTCTCTCTCTCTCTCTCTCTCTCTCTCTCTCTCTCTCTCAATAATAGATAAATGTAGTGATTTAAACTGTGAAAGCCATCTTATGATGTGTATATACAATTATTTATAATTATTCATCTTATAAGGAAAGGGCGTTAATAATGTTCATGTAACTTGTGCCCAATCCTTTTGCATTTTTTGGCAATAAAATATGTTTAAACTAAATAAGTTTCAGTGCAGTTGTTGAAATTCTCCATAAAATTCAATATTTCTACCGGGAAAATAATTCCGGGATGGCAACACAGAGTACCAAAGTAAAAATATTGTTTGCCTGTTTTGGACCATTGCTCTAACATTCCTAAAATAGGCGATCTATGCTTTTCTGTAACAGTATCTTTTTTCATTAACCCAGTTAATATAGCTATTGTGAAAAATGTCCATGCCTTGTCAAATAGATCAATCATATGTCAAAGAGAACAAAGAGAGCCTTAATACTAATAGATCATTAAAACTGCACTGGCTTAATACATTTTTTTGTCATAATATACCAATTGTGGTTCTAAACCAGGGTACAATAGTCAAATATAAAACCAATAAATCAACAGTATGTTTGAAATTGACCATAAAAAATTACATCAAAGAACAAACATATATACGCTACATGGCACATGATTACAATACATGTCACATCACACTAATGAAATATACATGTAGGCATTAAGTCATACCTTGTCTGTTGTATAAGTAACAAAAGCGCTATATTTACCGTTAATCTGACTCGCAGTCGCTAACCCAAACGTACTTTCAGTTAATATGTTCTTTTATTATAACATACATTTTTTCGCGTAAGCAAAACCACTCAGTCGACAGAGGTTACTGAACTTTTTCGAATGTTTTACCTTGCATTGAGCTCAACAAAATCAGGAGACGGATTTATATAAAAATCTGTTTTTCCTTTCCGAATCCATTTTGTTATTCATATTTTGTTCTCACTCCGGTTTTCTATGCAGATGACCGGGGTTCGCCGTGGCTTGTTGCATACACAACTCCAACAACCCCAGCCGGGTGGAATACAAAAAGGTCATGGGCTGGGTGTTGTAGTGTAGGTGCTGTATTCTTCAATTGGGTCGGCAGTATAAAGCAGATACCTTTGGAAGCAGTCTAACTGAAAAACAAAATGAAATATACCAGTGCTAGTGCTTGAAGTTAGTGACTGACCAGATAGCTCTAGCGGAATCATTGCCCAGTCAGGTTTAGGGGAGGCCTGCTGTATCCCACTGCATATCGTAAAAGGCCAATAAACATGGCACCCCCTACAGAACCGGGGGGTTTCTCCTGTGCCTTAAAGGGGAAAAAGAAACCAAACTTGATCTGCTGCCCCAATACATATTTGGAATCTATGTAATTTTCCTCTACTTCTAACCAATCTTTTTGCTTTTGCTTACTAGCGCTTTTTTGGCAATGCCTCACACTTTTGGCCCTGTTTTTGGACATTCTGTCCCCAGGCCGGGACATACCAAAGTCCTTAAAAATTGTAGTTAAAATCTCTGCTAAGCAATCAGCACTTAGGGTAATCGCAACAACTGGTGTACCCGTTGTCAGAATCATGTGACCTGGTGGGACTCTGTCATGGGTGCTTTCTGCATGGTATTTCAGTGAGGTAGACCAACACTATATAGTTGGCATCAGATCCGCGCTATCGCAAGAAGGGAAATACACCAACATACCATTCCTCCAGCATGCCCATGGAGGCACGTCCTTAAATAACCCTAGCTGTCAATAGGACGTTAAACCAAATAAAATCAAGCCAATTCTGCGTAATCCTTAAAATTACATTGTTTATTCCATTACATTGTTTGTATAAACTGTTCATGTATCTATATATTGTAAAGCGCTTTAGAGTGAATTATTTTTTGGTAGATATTGTGCTATATAAAATGTCATATTATATATTTGTTCATCATCTTAAAGATAAAAAATACAAATGGAATATTGTTATAACTAGAATGTTATTGCATGATATCAGCGTAATGATTATTCCATGTAACATGTTTAGAGAGGCATCTGACAACTAGGTCCAACGTTACACAATCCGTATCAAGGACATGACGCGATAATTCCGGAAGATTGGATTTTGCCTGGGTTTCCAGTTGTACAAGTTAATGTTTTCAGAGAGATGACACTTGGCTGAATATTTACTTGCATATATTAACTTCAAAAAGATCACGGACGCCGCTCTTTCTGACCAGAATATTGATGTAGAAAGGGATAGGAAATGTCAAATAGAACCAGAGACAATGCATGGAGGACGGAATCAATGAGTAAATACGAATGTCAGTAGTTACGCGGGGTCTGTGGAGGAAGCCTTCGGGAGGTTAAGTCCGCGCTAATCTTCAGGCTGACAACGTTGGGGTTTACACAACATCAATACGCTGATAGATTCTACAGATGTACCCATTCAATGTGACATATTTGTGAGGTATGGCATGGATTAAAAACCGCCAATATCCAACAGTCAACTTTGCCTATCTGCATGTTTCTTTGTAGTGCACAGGTGAAAGAATTGATTTAGCTTGCCTACAAACACTGTATCGACATGAACACACAAATCATTTACTCCTGTCAACGTCCTGGTGCTAAGACGAACAGTTTTATCATCAAAATTTAATTACCGCTTCCTGTTGCTGTCACTAAAGTGCAAATTAAAATGTCAAGGTGGTTATCTCCCTTTTTGTTCTTTTAATGGCGTTAACTTTGATTAAGTTAAATTGTGGATTTAAAAGGGAAAAAACCGCTTGAAAAATAATAAGCAAGTCTGTGATTAATCAATAGTTTGTTGTTTTAGAAGCTTATTTAAAAGTTATTGAACTGAAGTTGATAGATTAAAAAAATCACATTTTATATTTAACCCGGCCCCAGAAGGTTAAACCAGAGACGTAGGCCTATATGGCTTTATATGTCTCTGGTTAAACATTTGAAATACAGTGAGCAAAGTAAAATAAGATGTTGGAAATAAAAATACTTAATTCATTTCAGACTTCATCATGTGAACATTATACATTGTGCATCAGGCCCATTATGCCTTATATCCCAAAACCATTTAAAACTACCCAATAAGATGTGTAACTTGTGTAGACCCACACTCAGTCTCTTGAAACAGTTCATCCATGGTAAAACGATACGAATAGATTGTACATAGATCTGTAAAGAAGGGGATTAAGTCCTCATGCGGTATCTTATTTACGGTCTAAGGGGAAATAACCCCATTCCGGAACCTAGTAACATTTTTTATTAGTTTTTACCTCATTCCGGATAAGTTGTCCGGTACTGTATTATAATTTAGCCGACTGAAAATAAAAAGATCCTATTTGAACGCATCTATTGCAATATAACCTCGTACGTACAGATCGCCGTAGAACTAGGTAGGGCCTAACTACCTGTCTTGAACAGTTGCCTGACCACTTGTATTATTTTTAAAGCTTTTAACTGTTAACTAATGAAATTGGGGTCCCTCATGAACTGACATTTTCACGTTCAAGATCCCAAATATAACAAATATATAAGAAAAGTTAACCCCCACGAAAAATCAAGGTAAATAAATGTTTAAATAAAATAATAATAGTCATTTTAAATAACAACACTGATGGATAAACGTGAGCATTACAATTTTCAGAGAGGGAACAAGTTTTTGTGATTGCCATGTTATCTGACATGTAAAATATCGCCCTCATTCAGTTCCATTAAAAAGCCCATTAATATCTGTCAATTGATGTGTTTTCAGGACGATCGGACCGCCCTCCATTTCGCTGCAGCCTTTGCCAAGGATGACGTGGTGCGACTCCTCATCAATAGGAAAGCTGATGTCAACCTTCCAGGAGGGGTAGGAATAACTAAGAATAATGTACTCCAACATGTTAGATGTTTAACATGGCAAGATACTTTTGACAAGCTCTGTGTATACGCAGTCGTCATAATCATATCCGATAAAAAAAAGTCAACCAGTGACTGTTTATGTTATAGGAGTATAACCTTGAGCATATAACTGCAATTTCCCCTTATGGACCGAGGATGCCATGGTCATACACTTGTTGTGATTGCCATGTTATCATGTAAAATATCGCCCTCATTCAGTTCCATTAAAAAGCGTTTTTTGATAATTTGGCAGATAGCCAACACAATAAATATAAATAACCATATCTCAGGTGTTGGGCCAAATTAACTTAACCTAAAATTCATACGTAATGTCTCAATCCTTCAGTATTCCATGTATTGTTAAACTTGACTTTAAATTGTACCTAACACTCTTGAGGGAATTTTACATATACATGTAGAAAGGTAAGCAGTGTTAGAAATCTTGCTTTCAGGTAAAAAAAAGTTTTGGTTAGATGTGAGCAACATTGGATGACAGGTGATTGCTACAGGTCCATTATGCCTCTTCTGTCTTGTATGATAATAAGAAATGAAGTTTTGTGGTGGAATATTAAATCAAGTGATCATAAGTGAATGCAAGTATGGTTCTTTCAATGTCATTTGTCTAATGGTAACATCCTCCCAGATTGTGCATTGTCAATTGCAATTGATCTTAATAAAAAAATTAATTAAAACAAATTGATTAAGATATTGAAGGTTGACTAGACTCTCATGTGTTTCAATACAGTCTATACTAACAATATGGCAGTGTTATCTGTGTGTTAGCAGCACTTAACGATAGCAGTATTTGTTCTATGACATAACAGTTCAGTCAGGATTTGTACAGAATCTCTACGTTAATTAAAAAGTAGTTAGCCTATCAACTTGTCAAGAACAGGACAGTTCCATATTTTAAGTCTTAACTCACTTGAAGCACCTGGTAACATCAATAAATTCAATATTGGATAAAACTAAAATAATTGTTAAACAACTGTATGACGTCTTGTGTAATATCATTCCATTCATTTAAATCAAACATAATTAAGGCTGATAATTAAAAAAGTTCCACTCTCAGCAGGCATTTAGTTCTGTAGATTGATAGGCAGGTCAAGTGTTTGGGCAGATCGTCGAGGAATGTGTGTGTGCTATCAGCTTAACGACAAGTATTTTTAATATTTAATAAAAAAAATATCGAATGTGACTATATACTTTTTGTGTTGTCATGTTTATTTTTTAATACTTAACCATTTTTAATCTGGTTCTGTAGCAGTTTTGTTTTCAGTTTAAAAAAATATTCCAGTTTTTAGTTTACATCTCTCAGTGTTAAGCTAACAGAACGTGTAATAATTGGGTACATATCTGTTCGGTTTGATATCGCCTTGGAAACGTGTAGCTTTGTGGACAGGTACTCCAGGTTGCACCTTTAATTTATGGTCAGCAGCCACAAATTGACAGAACGATCCCTAGAAGTGCTCGGAGGAAAAAAGGAAGAGGGTCACACCATGTCTCACATGTTGTAATCCCACAGCTATTAAACATTCCTTTTTGATTCCTGGTTTGTTAGTAACGTGCAAGTGAAAGGAAAACATTGTATGGATGACAATGACAGCCGGGCCCGTTTCTTCCTTGGATCCGGACAAGCCTGCAGACTCCCTGTGGGGTAGAAAAAAAAACATCTGTAGAGCTTCTCAATAGCTCAGTATTTCATATACATTTAATAATCATTGTAATATTTGCAAATCTCCTTTGTTAGGAAAAGGCTTTTCAATTAAGTCAATATCAGTGTGAGCTATAATGACGTCTTTTGGGGATCTAGTCCATGGGGGTCCAGGGGATGGGGTGGGGTTGAGTGTCTTAACATGTTCCTCGCCCACTTTGTTTATTTTGCAGTTGCTATTTTTTTCAAGCCACAAATTAACATCAAATAGTTAAACCTGAAAATGGATTTTTTTTATCCAAACCGCAGAAAAAGAAAAATGTTGCAGAAGAATAAGATTTCTTACTTCTTGAAATAAATTTTATGTTCGCTTGTTGGATATATGCTAAACTGATGAAGGTGACAGAGTATATACTGTACCAGTCATCGAAACGTCACATAGAAACACTTATTGGCTGTGCTACATGAATCTTTTCACAATCCCTACTTACCAACCTAAAGAAAATGTTTAGATGTATAGAAATAAGGGTTAGGCTTATTGTGGGACATTGAAATAGCATTTAGTGGTATTTCTACTGAATGGTATTTGACATGGTTGCCATGGGCTTATTACCAGGCATGGGCTTATTGATGGAAAAGTATGTTATATGTATCATTTTGGTGCCCTGGAGTAACTGTTATTTTCTCTTTTTATTTTTTATTTTTTTATTATTATGATGAAATATACCAAATTGCATTAAGATTTGAATATATTTCTTGGGTTGTTATAGATTTCCAATGAAAAATCTGACAAACATTTCACACTGTTTGATCGGTTAGGTGACAAAACCATGGCTATTCTATAAATGGCTGGTGCTGTAATTTTGTGTAACCTGAACCACTGTCCTATTGATTGAGTGAGTAAAGCCAGTACATGGCCTAACCTGATACAGGTACACACTGCTGGCTTATTAATCATAGCTGTCAACTCATGTTGGTATCTAATGGTAAAAGGATGTTTTTAACTTCCTGTGGTCAGCTTCTCCATCCCACCTTTTATGTAGAGGATTAATATACATCTGTACCTGTGTCATGATACCTTTAACTCACACCTGTACACCGTACCTGCATCGATGCAACCACCCAATGTATCAGTTACCTACTTCCCTGGGTTAGGCTAGAATACACTTATCTTTGTCTAATCAAGGTGAAAATTCACTTCAAATGGAAGGAAACCGCTCTAATGATTAACTTCAGTGTTTTTCAATAATTTTGATTGACAGTTGTTATGTTTTTAATTGCCCTGTCGAGATTGGTTGATAAATCAATGTTTGGAGATGAAATTATGATGTGTAGGTGAATGTATATAGGTCATTGGTGACGTTGGTCTACAATGTTTCATTCCCAGTAAACCTCCAGTGATTTTTGTAATCTAGTAGTTTTGGGAAAAAGAGGTAATGGAGAAAAAATGATTTTTTGTGGAGGGGGGGGGGGGGGTCTGTATTGAAAGTTAATGGAAGGTATTGGACAATTTTGGACAATTTTCAATCAAAAACCAGTTCAGGTTACATGGAAATTGATGTTTTGTGGGAGTTATAAATATGTATGAATGTATTATACAAAGTAGCTGACCAGTTTTATGAAACCTCCTTAGCTGAAGTTAAGATTTTTTAACCAGACAATGATTCCTTTCCCTTTTGGGGAAATATAAGATCAGAGTAAATTTCCTTAAGTTTTCTTAATTATGGTATACATGTATTTGTGAAACTGAATCCTAGGGGTTTTGTTTAGACAAGTTCCACTGTATACTCACTCCTATGGCAGGATTGTTTCTTGAACCTGTCAGACACACCATGTCAAGTCTTATCTGTCAGACACTTAGAGTAAGTAAATCTTGATCTCTCAGATGCTTACCATTATCAATTACTTACTTTGTCATATGCTTAGTAAATATAAAATCATAATCTGCCAGATGCTAAATATTGCTTACAGTTAGCAAATTCTTACTTTGTCATATGTTTCTAGTAAATGAAATCATAATCTGTCAGATCTATGCATTCAGTAAGCAAAAACTTAGTCTGTCAGACACTTACAGTAAATTAAATCACAAACAGGAAGGCAAATTCAACACAGGGGTTATTGTTTGAAAGACACAAAATCACAAATATTTACAAAGGAAAAATATCTACTTTGTAGTTTCGTGTTAACATACAAATATTGAATGCTCAGCAAAGCAGGTATTAAACCAGGGCAGGCCTAATTATCACTCCATGGTATTTCTCATTATGTATAATCATCCTTCCATGCTTAGAAACAAACAAATTTGCTTAGCATTATTAGGAGTAATAGGTAAAACATTTTGCTCCAAGGATTAGATTTAATTGTCTTAATGTAGCAAGTTAAATAGAATATATATATCAACTTTCACAATATATTGATTAAAGCAATTGATTCGTACTGTTTTTTCACCGTTCTTAAATACAACTTGCTGTATTGTACTTGATGGAAGGAAATTCTTGGGTGATTTAGTTCGTTGTTGTATTGTTATTATCACGGAAATAGATTGTTATTTAAGTCCGTGTTATTATTGATTAGATAAATCTTTACTTGTTTATGATACCCCTCGATCAGTGTAAATGACCGGGGACATTTTCTGTGTGTCTATTAGTATACCTGTCTTTTTGTCCATCTCCCAGTTTATGGCCAAATAAAATATGTTGTTTGTTTCTAGTTACCTTACCTTCTCTACTTTTTTGTGCCTACCCTTACCTTTTTTGGTAATATCCAAGGTAGCACTGTTAAAGTAAAGATCAATCTCTTATATAAACATTATAAAAATTTTTTTTTTTAAAAATGTATTACCTACCTATACCTAGCTACATACCCTAATTTTAAATGCCCGTAAAATTTGACGGAAGTATATTATGGTATGGGGTTGTCCGTCTGTCCGGCGTAAACTTTCTCCTCCTACATTTTTCGACCAATCTCTTTGACACTTGGTATACATTATAATCACGATATGAAGTTGTGTCTCCCTTAAAAGAATTTTGATTCAACAATTTTTGCAAAAGTTATTGCCCTTTGTTTATTTCAGTATTTGGTTTTTGTCCGGCAATCTCCTCCTACATTTTTCAACGCATCTCTTTGAAACTTGGTATACATTATAGTATTTGATTTTTTTGTCCGTAGATTTTCTCCTACATTTCTTACAGCATGTCAGCTAACCACTCTTAGAATTATTCAAATCTTATTTCAATGTAATAAAGTATATAACACTAAATGGCATTCGACGGACGTATATTGTTCCACCCCGTGGTACTCTTGTTCAGACATGTACATTATGTAATAGGAATGTTTTTTTGTTTGGCCTTAAGATTTTTAAACATTTCTCTCTAAGCTGTATCATTACTTACTAAAACAAAAAACTTATAGTAGGGTTTATCTTCAACAAACTGGAACACAATTTTTTTATACAATTAAATTTATGTTCAACTTCAAATTTGTTTTCTAGCAGTCTGTTTGCACAAACATATATCTTGTGTGAAAAACAGTCCTTTTGATAATAGTTGGGAATTTTTAATTACTTTTGATTTTAAATAAGTTTATTTCATCAAGACCCTTACTTCATAAGCACATCCTTCACTTGACTGTATTTGTTGTATATGACAGCCCAAGGGCCAGTTACCCCTCCACATGGCCTGTGCTCGGACCAGCGGGGCGGTTACCGTTGTCCAGCTGCTGCTCAAGGCTTCCAACAAAGATGGCCGCCTTTACCCAGACAAGGTAGGATTTGCCAGGTGTTGGAGGGAATCGCAGCTTTTTATCAAATATTTAAACAGAATCATGTACAAAATTAAAGCATCGTTTTAAGAAAGGAGAATTCATCAAAGCTGTTTGAAATAAAAAGAAAAAATTGCTTGCATTTTAATGAAACGTATGCTTGCTTGGTGTTCAGAGCTACATATTCATTAGTGAGTATAATAACTAATATATACTGAATTAATTACAGCCTTTTGCTTACTCATATATATTTATCTACTTATCAACAAAATCGGTGACAGAAACTGTTTTGTGTTCCCAGAATGGTGCCATACCCTTGTTTCTGGCTGCGGAGGCTGGCAATGTGGCTGTGTGTAAGGAACTTCTGTACCAACATGCAGACCAACAACTCAAGATGCAGAGGAAGGTACATAAAATGACGTGTGGATATTTCGGTATAATAATTTACGGTCTATTGTATTACTGATACAATGTATACTTGCTGAACACTTGTTTCTGTGAATGTGTATCCACCAAGGTATATGTGAGGATGTGAATTTGAAAAGGAAATAATCACTGATCAAATACTGTAAGTTGTAACATTTTTGCCATCTTGTTCTTTTAAAGATATTCACCTGATTTGAATTTTTCCTCAAATACTGCCCTTTGCTTAACAATACTTCTATCTATATGTATAGTATTCCCCACCTTACTGTGAATTTGTAAAGAGATCTGGTGCTCCAATCCCCTGGTGCAATTGCTTTTGGTGAAAAAGGAAATCATATATAATTCATCCATGTATTAAAACTCTTGCTTTAGTAAATGAACAAGGAATTCCAAGTCAGAAAAAATGTCAAACAAATTGAAACTCTTTTAAAATTTTGATTAGTTTATATATATATATATATATATATATTATAAAAAGAAAAATTCTTAACAACAAGTCTTTAGTACTTTCATCTCTTCTAGAAGATTCTTCAGACTGTTTATTTTAAGTATATGTTGTGACATCATAAACTATGACCTCACTTAATAGTTCGCTATACCGCCATCCGCCATATACGTACCCACCATAAAGATATCACAGCAAAATAAATGATGTATATATATATATATATCTAAATACCTGAGAACATGATGCATTTTAATATAAATACTTGTATATTTGTGTGTAAATACATGTATTTGGATGAATTACATACCTTAAAAAGAATCTTAACACAAATAAAATTCTTTAGACTCTACATTTGCTGTGTTCTCTCTGGTGACAGGACAATGGTGATACAGTACTGCACATCTCGTGTCGGCGCCGGGACCTTGACTTCGCCAAGATGTTAGTCGAGTCAGGTGCACCTGTGGACACCATGAATGTACGTTCTGATAACAGTAAAAGTAATGTGAAACCTGCTCATATGACTACCTCCATTAAGAGACCACTTCTAATGTCGATCACTTTAACAGTTTCCATTGTAAAATGACCCTGTAATAAAAGACCACCTGTCTTTGTGTTGAGTTGTGTATAGATGAGTGAAGTAGATATGAGTTCAATATAAGTACATTCTTATGGTATTTTCTGTTGTTTTATGACAGGATGAGAAACAGACTCCCCTCCACCTGGCAGCCTGGGAGGGGGATGAGCAAATGGTCAAATATTTGTATCAGATGAAGGCTAACCCAAACCTCACAGACACGGTAAGACACTTTCTCTGTGACATATGGGCCTCAGTAAACATCCTCCCTCCAACTTCCAACCCAAACCTCACAGACAAGGTAAGACACTTCCTCTTAGACACCTGGACCTCAGTAAACATCCTCCCTCCCACTTCCAACCAAAACCTCACAGACACGGTAAGACACTTCCTCTTAGACACCTGGGCCTCAGTAAACATCCTCCCTCCAACTCCCAACCCAAACCTCACAGACAAGGTAAGACACTTCCTCTTAGACACCTGGACCTCAGTAAACATCCTCCCTCCCACTTCCAACCAAAACCTCACAGACAAGGTAAGACACTTCCTCTTAGACACCTGAGCCTCAGTAAACATCATCCCTCCCCCTTCCAACCCAAACCTCACAGACAAGGTCAGACTCTTCCTCTTAGACACCTGGGCCTCAGTAAACATCCTCCCTCCCACTTCCAACCAAAACCTCACAGACAAGGTAAGACACTTCCTCTTAGACACCTGAGCCTCAGTAAACATCATCCCTCCCCCTTCCAACCCAAACCTCACAGACAAGGTCAGACTCTTCCTCTTAGACACCTGGGCCTCAGTAAACATCCTCCCTCCCACTTCCAACCAAAACCTCACAGACAAGGTAAGACACTTCCTCTTAGACACCTGGACCTCAGTAAACATCCTCCCTCCCACTTCCAACCTAAACCTCACAGACAAGGTAAGACACTTCCTCTTAGACACCTGAGCCTCAGTAAACATCATGCCTCCCACTTCCAACCCAAACCTCACAGACACGGTAGGACACTTCCTCTGTGACATATGGGCCTCAGTAAACATCCTCCCTCCCACTTCCAACCAAAACCTCACAGACACGGTAAGACACTTCCTCTTTGACACCTGGGCCTCAGTAAACATCCTCCCTCCCACTTCCAACCTAAACCTCACAGACACGGTAAGACACTTTCTCTGTGACATATGGGCCTCAGTAAACATCCTCCCTCCCACTTCCAACCTAAACCTCACAGACAAGGTAAGACACTTCCTCTTTGACACCTGGGCCTCAGTAAACATCCTCCCTCCAACTCCCAACCCAAACCTCACAGACAAGGTAAGACACTTCCTCTTAGACACCTGAGCCTCAGTAAACATCATCCCTCCCACTTCCAACCAAAACCTCACAGACACGGTAAGACACTTCCTCTGTGACACCTGGGCCTCAGTAAACATCATCCCCCCCACTTCCAACCCAAACCTCACAGACACGGGAAGACACTTCCTCTGTGACATATGGGCCTCAGTAAACATCATCCCTCCCACTTCCAACCAAAACCTCACAGACAAGGTAAGACACTTCCTCTTTGACACCTGGGCCTCAGTAAACATCCGCCCTCCAACTTCCAACCTAAACCTCACAGACAAGGTAAGACACTTCCTCTTTGACACCTGGGCCTCAGTAAACATCCTCCCTCCAACTCCCAACCCAAACCTCACAGACAAGGTAAGACACTTCCTCTTAGACACCTGGACCTCAGTAAACATCCTCCCTCCCACTTCCAACCCAAACCTCAGGGGGATGAGCAAATGGTCAAATATTTGTATCAGATGAAGGCTAACCCAAACCTCACAGACACGGTAAGACACTTCCTCTGTGACACCTGGCCCTCAGTAAACATCATCCCTCCCACTTCCAACCCAACCCTCACAGACAAGGTCAGACACTTCCTCTGTGACATATGGGCCTCAGTAAACATCATCCCTCCCACTTCCAACCAAAACCTCACAGACACGGTAAGACACTTCCTCTGTGACACCTGGGCCTCAGTAAACATCATCCCCCCCACTTCCAACCCAAACCTCACAGACACGGTAGGACACTTCCTCTGTGACATATGGGCCTCAGTAAACATCCTCCCTCCAACTTCCAACCTAAACCTCACAGACAAGGTAAGACACTTCCTCTGTGACACCTGGGCCTCAGTAAACATCATCCCCCCCACTTCCAACCCAAACCTCACAGACAAGGTCAGACACTTCCTCTGTGACATATGGGCCTCAGTAAACATCCTTTCTCCCACTTCCAACCCAAACCTCACAGACAAAGTAAGACACTTCCTCTTAGACACCTGGGCCTCAGTAAACATCCTCCCTCCAACTCCCAACCCAAACCTCACAGACAAGGTAAGACACTTCCTCTTAGACACCTGAGCCTCAGTAAACATCATCCCTCCCACTTCCAACCCAAACCTCACAGACCAGGTCAGACACTTCCTCTTAGACACCTGGGCCTCAGTAAACATTATCCCTCCCACTTCCATCCCAAACCTCACAGACAAGGTAAGACACTTCCTCTTAGACACCTGAGCCTCAGTAAACATCATCCCTCCCCCTTCCAACCCAAACCTCACAGACAAGGTCAGACACTTCCTCTTAGACACCTGGGCCTCAGTTAACATCATTTTTTCCAACTCCAACCAACCTAACAGGTCTGGCCTTGTTTAATTTTTACTCTCAGAATATTGTTGTTAATACTTTTTTTTGTTTATTTTGTCCTTATTATTTTTTCAAATATAAATGTTCTATAAGGAATGAGTTTCTTTTCAGAAATAATTTAAAGATATTGTCATGCAGATAAAAAAATACAAACAGTATAATAGCTGGTACCCAAGGTACCAGCAGAACTCGGAATTCATGTTGTTTTGATAGTGAGTTGAAATATGAGACATTAAGTAATGTTGACTTAAATATCTATCCTAGCTAGGGTAGTAATCATATTCATACTCACTTACCCTAGCTGTAGCAGAGTTGATCTATATTTTCAATTAAAAGTTTTAAAAAAACACCTATTTTTTAATAGAATTGAGTAAACATTGATGACGTCCTTTACACCACAGGTTGTACTTGAACACACCTATATTGCTAAGCAGGCATTGTTCAAGTACATTTGACAGTCATTCAGTCTCAATAGGAAATTGACGGAAATACAAAGATAAGGGTCCTTATTGAATTTTTCAAAAATATAGCTTATAAGGTGTGTAAAAATATTTTTTGGTACACTTATATTAGAAATCAGGGCCTTTGAAAATACTGAAATAGTAATAACCATCAGTGTGCATCTGAGGATAACAAAAGCTGCAGAAAATTGTGATATTGATCAAACAAACATTATCATCACAGGTGCATTATGCTGAACATTGATTGGTAGTAAATGCTTTATCACAGGAAATCACTCATTGTAAAGGGACCATGCCATTAAAAATTTAGGTTGGAAATGTTCAAACGATTCATGAGCATTATGCAATTAAGATTTCAATTAAAAAAGTTTTGATTGGATCAATAATGGAAATCACAGCGACAGGAAAGTTATCTTTACTTAATGATGTACAAATCAATAATCAAAGTATCAACAGGGAAATTCCCTCATTCATGTTCTATAATTACATATATATAATTAGTAAAGCTTTTCCTGTAAATATTAATGGTTCCGCCAGTATTTTATCACATGACTGACAGAATAATGAGATATTGATTTTACAATGTAATATGAGATGTTTAATGAATTACAACATTTTAAAAGTTTTATCTAGTAATTGCAATATTTTCTCAGATTCTTCAAATATGCTTAAACTTGTGAAAAAATGTGTTTTATTTTGATACAACTTATCATCTCGCTTTAAAAGAATATTTTTAATCCCTATTTTTGGAGAAAAGAGAGATAATAGTAAAGGTGTTTCTGTCCATCTGTCTGTAATTCATATTTTGTGAAATTTACTCTTAAATGGTGTACCTACTCTTAATTTTATTATTTGGCTTTTTTTATGGGTGTTTAACTCCTTTCAAGAAACCCTTTGCCAAGTTGTCTTTATTCTGATCTACATATATACATAATGCCCAGAATCTTACTTGCCTTAATTCACTAGGGTAAATGTACATTGCATTTTAATTTCTTTTCTAGCAATTTTTGTGCCAGAAGGGGTTATTAATTAGCCTGATACTTAAGTTCTAGTTTACAAAGGACAGACACATCGATATGTAGCTTATCTCCGTGAAAATCGAGATACATTTCAGTGTAATTTTAATTACATGTAAATGATGAATGCATACAAACTAATTTATGTTACAGCACTGCCTCCTTAGCATTGTTCTTAGAAAGCATGTCTTATCCTGTTTCAGTTTGACCGTGGTCCAGTGCACATCGCAGCTGAACGGGGCCATACTAATGTGGTTGACCTACTAGTGGACAAATGTAAAGCGTCCATCTCGGCCCGCACCAAGGACGGCAGCACACTCATGCACATTGCCTCCCAATATGGACACCCAGATACTGCTCTTGCCTTCCTCAAAAAGGGTGTGCCCCTTCACATGCCAAATAAGGTATGTTCTTGTTCAGCTTGGTCTTTAGTGTCGGTACTTTCTGGGTTGAATAATTAATTATGTAGTCAGGGTTTTCTGCTGGAGATGTTTCAAACTACTCTGTGGAAATGTTACAATGGTAATCATATAACTGATTTCAAATCATAGAATTTCATTGTTTGCATTATTCACTATGAGAAAACAATGAAATAATAATAAAAAAGCATTATTTGTTCCTAAACAGGGGTGTGAAAGAAAGTATTTTTTTATGTACCGTTTTGTTAGTGGATTGAAGCTATTATAGGATACAACATGTCTCTATATTTCATGTTTCAGTCTGGGGCTATTTGCTTACATGCAGCTGCAATGAAGGGTCATACCAATGTTGTTCGGTCATTACTGACCAAAGGTGCATCTGTAGACTCCAAAACAAAGGTAAGGGGCTGAGTTCTCTGTAGCAATCTATCAAAATCATATCAAGAGACTTTTTTAGTATGTAGTACAGCCAAAACTTTGATGATAGAAATTTCATTAGCATTTATAAAGTGATTTTTTTTATGTATTTTATATAAACATTACAACAAAATGACTTAACTCCTTGTACTAGATTTGAGAAGCTGTTTATATATACTGTTGGTCCAGATATTACAGTAGTGTCCGCTATGTTTGAGTAGTCATGTACCCTGTTGGTCCAGACATTACAGCAGTGTCCACTATGTTTGAGTAGCCATGTACCCTGTTGGTCCAGACATTACAGTAGTGTCCACTATGTTTGAGTAGCCATGTACCCTGTTGGTCCAGACATTACAGTAGTGTCCACTATGTTTGAGTAGCCGTGTACCCTGTTG